TCAATTAAATTGATTCGTGGAATCTCTTTGATTTCATCAAATGATTAATTGATTCGCGGATTTAATTGAATTGATTTAATTATTTCTTTAAAATTAGTCTTTGGTTTTGATCAATTAATTAGTTTTGACCCGCCTTTTAACTAAAAGTGGATAAATTCCAACCTAAGTTATTTTTAAAGTATGTAATTCAAATTTAAAAAAAAAAGGAAAGCGTTCAAGCAAACCAAAAAAAGGGTGCTGTACTTACATATAATGTTTTCCAAGCAGTTGCTGAAAAATAATAAGTGATTACATGGCACCTTCTATCTGAAAACTAAAATTGCTCACGCTCCCCCTTCCCCCATTAAAAATTAAAAACAAAAAGCGTATTTATTAAAGAAAGTTATGATAATGTACAGAAAGTCTCTTTGAAAAATCATTGGTCCAAGAAACTTGTCGATAGTCTCGTTCCCTTTGGTTGAATTTCTCCATTGCTTTTAACCAATCCATTGATCTAAAAGCAGAAATAAGTATTAATTGACAGATTTTGGAAAAATCATTAATTCAAGAGACTCGTCGATAGTCCCTTTGAAAGAATTATTCATCCAAGAGACTTGGCGATAGTCTCGTTCCATTTGGTTGAATTTCTCCATTGCTTCTTAGCCATTCCATTCATCTAAAAGCAGAAATAAGTATTAATTGACAGATTTTGGAAAAATCATCAATTCAAGAGACTCGTCAATAGTCCCTTTGAAAGAATCATTCATCCAAGAGACTTGTCGATAGTCTCGTTCCCTTTGGTTGAATTTCTCCATTGCTTCTTAGCCAATCCATTGATCTAAAAGCAAAAATAAGTATTAATTGACAGATTTTGGAAAAATCATTAATTCAAGAGACTGGTCGATAGTCCCTTTGAAAGAATCATTGATTCAAGAGGCTTGTCGATAGTCTCGTTCCCTTTGGTTGAATTTCCCCATTGTTTCTTAGCCATTCCATTGATCTAAAAGCAGAAATAAGTATTAATTGACAGCATTTTGGAAAAATCATTAATTCAAGAGACTGGTCGATAGTCCTTTTGAAAGAATCATTGATCCAAGAGATTTGTCGATAGTCTCGTTCCTTTTGGTTGAATTTCTCCATTGCTTCTTAGCCAATCCATTGATCTAAAAGCAGAAATAAGTATTAATTGACAGATTTTGGAAAAATCATTAATTCAAGAGACTGGCCGATAGTCCCTTTGAAAGAATCATTGATCCAAGAGACTTGTCGATAGTCTCGTTCCCTTTGGTTCAATTTCTCCATTGCTTCTTAGTCAATCCATTGATCTAAAAGCAGAAATAAGTATTAATTGACAGAATTTTGGAAAAATCATTAATTCAAGAGACTCCTCGATAGTCCCTTTGAAAGAATCATTGATCCAAGAGACTTGTCGATAGTCTCGTTCCCTTTGGTTGAATTTCTCCATTGCTTCTTAGCCAATCCATTGATCTAAAAGCAGAAATAAGTATTAATTGACAGATTTTGGAAAAATCATTAATTCAAGAGACTGGTCGATAGTCCCATTGAAAGAATCATTGATCCAAGAGACTTGTCGATAGTCTCGTTCCCTTTGGTTGAATTTCCCCATTGTTTCTTAGCCATTCCATTGATCTAAAAGCAGAAATAAGTATTAATTGACAGATTTTGGAAAAATCATTAATTCAAGAGACTCGTCGATAGTCCCTTTGAAAGAATTATTCATCCAAGAGACTTGGCGATAGTCTCGTTCCATTTGGTTGAATTTCTCCATTGCTTCTTAGCCATTCCATTCATCTAAAAGCAGAAATAAGTATTAATTGACAGGTTTTGGAATAATCGTTAATTCATGAAATCCTTCGAAAGTCCCTTTGAAAAAATCATCGATCCAAGAGACTTAAAAACATTAATACAAAAACTCGCCGATAGTCTTGTTCCCTCCAGTTGAATTTCTCCATTGCTTCTTAAGCAATTCCATTAATCTCAAAATGAATGTTATTTTAGACTCAATTCACATATTTCGAATCATTAATCAAGATTCAAGAGACTCGGCGAAAGTCTCGTTCCTTTTGGTTGAATTCCTCCATTGCTTCTTACCCTTTCCATCAATCTAAAAGTAAAAATGGGGATTAATTTAATTAATCAGGAATAACTGGATGTATGCAATGATTCATTAGATTCCCAGATTTTGATTCATTTGAATATGCTTGATCGGCGCAAGTTACATTCCAGTAATATGATTCCCCTCGCAAAACGAACTGCCTACGTGTATCGTGCAGGTGCACTTCCGAGATAAGACCGTAAATTATTGAGTAATTATTTCCGGTGTTGATTGAGGAGTCATCTTGCACAGAAGCAAATAAATCGATATTACACATATACTAGGCATTGTTACTTTGAAACCTTAAATTGAAAGATTTTCAAACCTAGTTTTAAATTTTGTTTCAAAATGGAAGCTTGAATATTTTTTCTGCACTGAGTTTTAAAATTGCAACTTTGAATGTTTCAGCTTGAAACTATTCTTCAAATTTTTACTTGCATAATTCCCGCTTAAAATACTTCTTCCAAATTTGGAAATTTCGTTTCATAATTGCAAATTAAAATAATTGAAATATAAAGTTTTAAATTACATATTTGAGGTTTTCTTTAGTGTCGCAACTGGAAACGCTTTCTGTATTCCTATCCTCTGACCTCTTTTGATATTTCTCACTGTTTTAGTCTATCAGATCAAAATGTTTCAAAATTATGAGACAAAAATTATCGATTTGTACAGTCGAGTTTGTGGTTAGTGGTAAACCACTGAGCAAAAATGTGTACACCAGAATTCCCTCGAGAATTCAAAAAGTGTATAAGAATTTCACTTCCACTTCCAAAAAATTACATTGAGTTGCAAAGAATTTCAAAAAGAATTCCAATGAATTCCAGTACGAGAATTTTAAGTTGATATTATAATGTTGACAATATAAAGCGCCACTCAATTTTTAACTTGACTCTCCCCGTAGAAAATTTAGAAGGGTAGTAATAACAGTAAAAATCAATACCTACCACCAGAAATGGTTTATTCTTAATCAATACCAAAAAATAATAATTGTCTTCACAATTGGATAGCACAACACACAACAAAAAATACTGCCCCAAATATAGTCAAAATTATAACTTATGTTACTCACAAATCTTATTAACTTGGAATTGAATTAACAAAAAAGTACAAGTAAAACATTTAAGGCAACTCTTATCTTGGAATAAAGCTAGATGTTGTAATTGTTTGTTGTGGAAAATCGGAAAAATTAATAAAATTATAAATTAGCATTTTAGTAAAAATCACTCGTGCCGTGAAATTATTGAAACAAAAATTCGTCCATCCAGAGCTTACTAGAAAATTACATTCATGTAATTTTTCGGGTTTCCCGAATTGAAAAATAATAATTGAGAGCACGAGCAGACGTAAAATTTTTCACGGTACAAGAAACATATTTACAAATTCGCTCTAAAAAGGAGAAAATATTTGGTTATAAAGAAATTAGCACTGAAATCTTTATGGTGCGCAAACCGTGTATGGCTATGTCTTTAGCCGCAATTACCTACCTAAGAAATTTATTAATTAAATTAGCAGGTCAATCAAGTGTTATTATACTCTTTAATGACAATCAGAGAGGCGTTAAATTTGTCAATGAATCCGAGATCACAGCACATTGACGTACGACATCATTTTGTAAGACAAAACAATTTCAAAAAAGTGGGGGTGTTGAATGCTACCAAAAAACCTTGCTTGTCAGTTGGCAACATTGAATGTAGCAGGGAAGTAGGTGATTTGTGTTTTTTCTAATTTCATGCTTTATCTCTGTTTTAATGTCTTCAATAAATCATGTTTACTGCGTTATAATTAGTAAATTATTCAATAGTTTTGACCATTATCCTGAAAACATGTCAAAATTAACAAATTACTGATTATCGGCACAGTGAGCTAATGCTATATTCAACTGATAAACAATTACATACTCTTTTGCTAATTAGAGATGTAACCAGATTCATTTCTTACGCAAAATACGGTGCAAAAAATTTGTACGAATTTGATGGGGTTGCTACCCAATTAATTTGATCATAACGATTAAATTGTGGTATTAATACACAAATAAGGCAGTATGAAACAACGGTAAAAATTATAAGGCATTCGGAGTTACAAGCCTCTGGAATCAGATGCTTTATCCTCGTAATTGGCTCAATAATTATTTTAAATTTAAAGAAATTAATTAGGAATAGATTGACTTAAAATCGTGATCGTGTTTGACGCATATCCCAAGATACTTTCCATTGTGAAAAGAACCGCTTACGCGTGTAATGTGCAGGTGCAATTATTGAGCAATTGTTTCCGGTATTGATTGAGGAGTCATTTCCCACAGAAGTGTTATAAATCGATATTATGACGCATTATCCCAAAAAGATGTCAAAATGTACCAATTACTGGGCTAATTACCCTTTCGCTAATTAGTAACCAGGTTATTTTGCTTACGCAAAAATTCCAATAAAAAATAAAGTAGGATGAACAGAACATGACAAACTTAACTGATAAACATAAAACGGCATGGTAAACACTTGAGATAAGCATATCGGCAAGTCGGAGTCGAGCAGTCTACATTTCAAGGATACGTAGAAAAAACGCGTTTTTTTTAAATAATTGCCGCCACACAAAAAGTGCTTTGATGGAAGCGCGGTCATTAAAACTATTTCAGTTCTGAGAAATTATGTGATCATAATATTTCAAAATGCAAATCGGTTGCTTAACCCATAATTAAATCGTTTGATTTTATTAAACAATGACAATTAGTCATCGTTATCACCAAGGCCTAAAAAATTCACCTTGAAGTCGTAATGTGTATCAATTTCCCTAGGCGAATGTGGAACGCTGACGATTAAAGCCTGCTTGGTGCTGCCACCGTTGGGCTTTTCCAGAACTTTGGCCTTAGTAATCGAGTTCATCTCGCGACCAGTTTATTCGTCATCGCGCTGTAGAGGAGTTTATGTCGGTCTCGCTGAAAATACATCGCGCGGTTTTGCGAAAGTGAGTCGCGAAAAGCTTTCGTTTTCATTTTGGGAGGAAAACGTGCGAATTTTGGAGTGCCGAGGTTTGCTGCTCCAATCGTGGAAAACCCCTCAAAATTTGAATTAACGTACCCAAAAAAGTTTTATTAAAAAATAAGTTAATATTGGATTTTATCAGCTGTATATAACTTTGCGCAGTAGCTCCCCACTACTACATCGAGGGGTGGGGGTTCAACAGCTGAGCATCGGATACAAACCTAAAACACAAGTTTGCTGGTGTCAGTCGCGTTGTTATCGTTCTTACGTTGGCAATCGATATGCTAAGAAAATTGAGGTGCTAAAGGCGCTTGCGAACTTAGTAGCAATTTTAGACTTGAAACTTTTTAAGGTGACTTTAGAACAATTTTGTGAAAAAGTGAGTGTTGTTCTCTCATACTGTGGATACGATGGTGCCACAACAGAATTTGGATGATAGATCGGATAGTCCAACTAGCAGCGGACTTCCAGTTTTTGGTTCTCTACTGATTGACAAAAATTCGGCAACACCCTACTCTGATGCAACTCAGGTAGGAATTTTGCACGAATTTTTCTCCTCCCCCAAGTGCAGCGAGTGAAATTATCGTGAAACAAATTTTTCTCCGAAAATTTGGAAAATACGATTACTCCTCTCTAACATTGACCTTCGAGCGCGATCGCGAAAAATGCTTTGGACACTTGCCCATTTCTCTCCCGAAAAAATTACCGGATATTATTTACAATGTCAAAACACTCCTTGTCGCAAATATGGGAATGCGAAATTTCCGAAAGTCGTCGTGTGCGTAAATTTTCATTCGTGTCTTACTTTTCCAGAAGACTTGCCAAGTTTTCGCACGCGTGCCTTTCAGGCGAACAGAATGAAATGACGGCAATTTTCTTATCCGATTCGAGATTAAATGGAACGAACGCGGGATGTGTTTTGGATATTCGCAAAGGACGTGACTTACGAAATTTTGAAAGCTCATCGCGAAATTTCGCATTTTGAGTTTGAGGGGGAAAAAACGTGGACGGGAGATAAATGCGCGTTTCTCCAAGTTCGTAGAAATTCAGATTAAACTCGTGGAAATTTTAATGTAGTACGCCACCGGTTCCTAACTTTAGCCTGTTCGAAAGTGATTAATTACCTCGGAAAGATCAACAAGCGCAGATGCCAAAAGCGCTTTTCAAAACCATACGTGGAGAAAATTTTTTCAGTTCAGTCTAAAATTGACCATCTACGTGAACTTGGTGGATTATTTCTCACGTTTATATTAATAATAAAAAACCGGTTATGATTTGTTGTATTTTTTAATTACACATTCTAAAGCAGTAGTATGACAGCGATCAGCTGAGGTGTTTGGCTCTGTTCAAGGTCTATGAGTCAGTATGTACGAGCGCACTCTCACTAGTGGAGATATATACACAGCTGTCGTAAAAATTTAGTACTTTTAACCTTTAGCGCCCGGAACCGCTGTTTGGAATGACATTGAAACATAAATTACAATTTACCGAATCGTATCGATAAAACAAACTTGTTGAAAGTCGGGAACGATTTTGGTGCAAGTGCGACGCTTGCGAAATCGAAATGATCGCGGCCTACTTAAAATTGCCTCGCGCAATGGACTATAGATTAGATACCTTTACCTCGGAAAATGGAAAACTGATTTACAGCGAGCAAGGTCGGAAATGATGAAATAGTCGATTGTGATTGATTGGCGTTTACCGTCGCAGGGATGCGTTATTTAGCCGTAATTAGCGATACAATCGAAATTCATGGTATTCATTATCTGTACGGTAGAGTTCATCGGCACTTCTCCATTTGCGGTTTAATGTCGCGGAGATACTAAATTGCGATTAGATACCGTATACGCTTCCGTCACAGTTTTCAAAACAGAAAAATATACCGGGAGACCTTAAAAATTTGGAAGAGTTCGGACACGTGTTTTGAAGGTTGCTTAATGCAGTTGCAGCTTACGCAATCTCGGTGATGCTATAAGGAAAAGTAAAAACAAGTTCTCACGATTTGACGTAAAAAAAGGTTACATTGAGCGCCTTCCTGTTTGTAGATGAATAACGAATGGGGTAGGATCATTAGTGCGCTCGCATTAATCTAGATAAATTAGATTTTAAAATATAATTACATAGGAAGTCGGCTTAATAAGCTATCAACATCGATTTGTACTAGCGCCTTAACGGTAAGGTTAGGTTCTCATCAATCAATAGTCTGGAAAGAATCGGTAATAACCTCGGCTTCAGCCAGCATCGTCTCGGAAGAACTGGTTTTTGACAATAAATCTAGTGCGCCACGAGAAACAACAGCACGACCGAGCGAGGTGCATCTCGGCAGGTCATGAGGTTCATGGACTACTAGATCACCGTAAAAACTCCACTTTTTTTTCTTTCGAACAGAAAACCGACCTTATGGTAATTCCATTCGGCAAAGTAATATATTGTAATTTGTTCTGCTCTGCATGTTCTCTTGTTTGTTGCGTAATAATGAATGCACGCGCACTTTCGCTTTAACGAAATAGCTCCACCACCACAGAAATTGACTTAGGAAAAATCTAATGGGCGCGTGGATAACATGCAGTGGAAAACCTCGATGGGCGTTTTATCTTCAGTAGGCTTCGTAATTGAAGTCACTTATAATATTTATGTACAATGCGTTTGTTGTTGCCCTTGATATCTCGCTTGGTCTTAATAGAAACTTTCAAGGCGATTCGGTTTTGCAAAGCTTCCCGATTTGAAACGTTTCAAGTACGCGCATTTGATCTACAATTAATTACCGTCGGTGGAAGGCGAAATTTCGTCATTTCGCTTTTTCGGACAAGTACGTACTTATTACGTATCCGCGCGCGCTGCCGGAAGTAGTAGTGATACCATCTTGAAGGCTAAACGAATATTGCCTTGGCGAACGAGGAAACGTCGCGACCTTATTTTGCAAAAGGACCATTTTTCGCGTATTAAGTACTCTTCACTTTCATTTCATGAAATTCAAGGTGTCGGGTCCCCACCTGGGGCTTGAGCAAGTGATTTTCCTCGACGATTGCAGATGATATCAAAGCTTTGCGTAAATTCTCTGATCCGAGACAAATCAGCGTAATTATCAAAGTAGGCCAAGGTGCGAGTTTAATTAAAATATTTCGCAATGGTAGAAAATTAAGTGTATTTAAGATATTAATATCTTCCAGGTGCAAATATGGCATATTAAGCCGTTCAGTCTACTGCGAATGGCAACGTGAGATGCAACACAATATCGCGTAACCTTGCGCGCCTCTAAGTCATTATCATGTATAAGTTACCCGGTTTACTTAATAATAAGTTGTCAGTACCATATTAGCGTTCTCGCATGATTATTTGCAAATCCATTAAACGGCCACAATGCCAAGCGGTTTCTAATAATACTCCGGCGTGAAAATCGCGGCGGTGTTGCAATTTAATTAATTTAACTTTAATTATTATTTTCATCATTGCACCATTACCACACGTAATCTTGCAATAGGCAAGGTGAGAAATAGATCATTCTGTAATCAGTATATCCGTAAATAATCACGAAGTTTGTAACGTAAATTAATCGATACAGCCCGTCTGGACACTTTTTTAAGGCACTAGTAGGAAAGTGTAGCCGCACAAATTCAATATAGCTAAATTACACGTTTTCCTTTTGTTTGATCGACTTGAGGCCACGAAACGCTATGATTATAAAACTTTATTTACTTAGTGAATCACATTTCCAGAACTCGGAAATAGCTAATGTTCTACATTTCTAAGGTAATCGGAAAAGTTACACCTTAGCAATAGTTTGACATCGACGATTAATCAAAAATACAAACAAATATTTCTCGGGTGTCAATTATTTATATGGCCGAGCAAAATTTATGCAAATCAAAGCGATAGTTGATAGTTTGACTTCGAAATTATTAACAAGTTTAACGTTCTTTTTAAATAAAAGAGCATAACTATAGTTCTTTTATTTACCCTTATTGTACAATATTGTTTGCTAAGTACTCAAACATTATTAAATGTAGATAAGGCATAAAAATCCCTCGGAAAATCCTATACGGAATGTCTCTACCTAACGTTAATAAATTTTTAAAAATTTGAGAATTTTCTAGTTTTTTTAAATACTTAGTATCTCGCTTAATATATAAAAATATTTATTTATTTTTAGACTTTATTTTTATAGGGTGATCGGAAATTGAAAATTTCTGTTACAAAATGTCGCAAAGAAAATGTGTTCTATCGTAAATTTTTCATATTTTTTTTAATTTCCGGAGAACTTTCGGTCCAATTTCTACAGAAACTGAGCGATAAAAATTGCGAGGACAATGTCGCTTCGGAAATGGAAATTTGGCTGAAACTTAAAAATCCCTAATCACTGTTTAAAAAAAATTTATGAAGTGAAGGATATTCCTGAAATGCTGAAGTGTTGCAGACGTATGGGAAGTGACTACTTCTTTCTGTCTTACACAATTCAATTGAATCTCTCTTAAAATTAATAAAACATCGTTTGACTCAATACACGAACATATCGGCTTCGCTACATTACAAACTTTTGAGTTTCTATAATGACAGGCAGACCGACATCATCGAGATTTTGTGTGATTCAGATCTGGTGCTTCAAGCGTGTATTTCCGTCAAAAAAGTAGGGGGTGATTTTTTATCCCAGCGTAGTACCTCATTGACTTTCTTTACAATGATAAAAAGTACACGAAATTACGTTTAAAATGTGAATTTCAGACACATCGACGATTTTAATGCGATATTTCCATTCAAATGCGCGTTAAAAAGATCGCCATTCCGCATAGCGTCTCGTTACGGATGAGATGAATACTTGAAACGCCATGTGACGGAGCGAATTGTAACGGATGAGATTAATTTAGTACCGTGCAAAACATACAGTCGTAGCGAGCGATAAAAAATACTCACTTCAAAAGTATTTTATGAATTTCAGACAATTATATAAAAATCAATAAAAAGTAAGCCACATAAACCTAATCCATAGCTTCTAAAAAGACTTAGAATTTCATGAATTCCAAAATAATTTGATGACCTTTTTAAGAATCCCATGAACTCTTTAAGAAATCCATTAATTCCAAAATAAATCCCGAAATTTCAAAATAAATTCATGCTTAATAATAATAATAGGCTAGCTAAACATGATATTAACTACCTACATATTCTAATGAATAAAAAAAAAGCATGTTAGCTCAAAGGGGCGAAAGTTCAGACTGGTGGGCACCCAAGAGGGTACCACACTGTCTGTTCTACCACTTAACCCCAACTTTCCAAAAGAGATCCATGCTTTCCAAAAGAAATTCATGAATTCCAAAATAAATCCATGCGTTCCAAAATTCGAGTCCAAAATAATGCCATGCATTCCAAAATAAATCCATGAATTCCAAAAGAAATCCATGAATTCCAAAAGAAATCCATGAATTCCAAAAGAAATCCATGAATTCCAAAAGAAATCCATGAATTCCAAAATAATTTCATGAACTTTTTAAGAATCCCATGAACTCTAAGAAATCCATGCATTTCAAAAGAAATC